CAAGAGCTCGGTTAATCGATTCAAGGGAAGTATCGATCAAGAACGATTGAAGAATTCATGATGACAAGTTATAGGAATGCAAACTATCCAACAACCCTACCAATTATGAAAGTTGACAACTATGAGAATTGGTGCAAACAGATGAAAGTCTTACTCAGGTGTCAATGTCTTTGGGACCTTGTAAAAGATGGAGTCGAAGCGCTTGGAGAAAACACTTCAGAAGAAGAAAAGAAGAAATACACAGAATCTGAGAAGCTGAGTTATAAAGCATTATTTATAATTCATCAATGTGTCAGCCCAGATAATTTCGAAAAGGTTAGTGATTCAGAATCTACAAAAGAAGCTTGGGAAATCCTTGAGAAGTCTTCTGGAGGCGCTGAGAAGGTGAAAGAAGTGAGGTTACAAACTCACAAAAGGACGTATGAACTGCTTCAGATGGAAGACAATGAAAGCATGTCTGATTTCTTCACTAGAGTTACAAAACTAGTAAATCAAATCAAGATATGTGGAGAAGCGTTAACAACAAGAGTTGTTGTTTCGAAGATCTTGAGATCTTTAGCTCCTAAGTTCAACCACATAGTGGTGGCGATAGAAGAGGGGAAATACTTGTCGAAATTGACAAAGGAAGAGCTTCAAGGGACGCTTGAATCTCATGATCAAAGAATGAACAAAAGAGCTGCAGGAAAATCGAAGAGTGATGTGGCCCTGCAGGAACATTCAGCAAAAGAGACCAAAGGCAAAGGAAAGTGTTTCGACAGAGGTAGAGGTGGCTACAACAAATCGAATGGTTGAGAAAACCAGATCGAAGGAAACATGTTGAATCAAAGAAAACCATACCAAGGCAACCAAAGAGGTGGTGTTGTGAATAGAGGAAGAGGTGGTGGTCAAAAACCTTATAAGAGTCACATTCAATGTTACAATTGTCATAAGTATGGTCACTATTCGAGTGTTGTCCAGAAAAATGAAAGAATCAAGAAAGTGATGCAAAGCTTGCAAAACATGAAGAAGAAGAGATGATGTTGATGGTCACAACAAAAGATGAAGATAGATTCAAGGACCAATGGTACTTGAATTCAGGATGTTCATCACATATGTATGAAAGGAAAGACTCGTTTGTCAATATATATCCCTCAATAAAAAATATGGTAAAATTTGCAAATGACAATACCCTAGCAGCTGAAATTGGTGATGTTATGAATATGTGTCAAAAGACTTCGACAGGCTATGTGAAAAGGAAGGAATTGTGCATGAGGTGGTTCCACCCTATACTCCACAACAAAATGGAATTGCAGAAAGGAAGAATCGAACCATCATGAATATGGTGAGAAGTATGTTGAAAGACAAGAATTTACCTAAAGAGTTTTGAGGTGAAGCTGTTTCGACTACAACATACATTTTGAACAGATGTCCTACAAAGAAGCTAGAAGGAATTACTCCAGAAGAATATTGGTCTGGTGTGAAGCCTAGCTTGAGTCATCTGAAGGTATTTGGATCTATTGCATATAGACATATGCCAGATCAGTTGAGAAGAAAACTTGATGACAAGTCAAGTCAAATGATTCTAGTTGGGTATCATTCGACAGGAGGTTACAAGTTATTCGATCCAGTGAAAAAGCATATTGTGATCAGTAGGGACATGATCATAGATGAGTTTAAAGAATGGGATTGGACTGAAAATGTCAAGAAAGATTCAGTGGGAATCCTACTTGAAGAGCCAGAAACTCAAGTCGAAAGATAAGTTCGACAAGAGGAACCAGCAGATATACCAAGTACAAGCAGGCATCAAAGAACAAGACGCATGCCCGTAAGATTGCAAGATTGTGTGATTACATCAGATGATGTAATAGATAATGAAAGTGAGCTGGTACATTATGCTTTCTATGAAGATGTCAAACCTGTCAATACAACTGAAGCATTGAAGGATTCTAAGTGGGTGAAAGCAATGAACGAAGAAGTGAAGTCTATCGAAGACAACAACACTTGGTCACTTGTCGAATTGCCTCAAGGCAAGAAGGCAATTGATGTCAAGTGGGTATACAAAGTGAAAACGAATTTGAAAGGTGAAGTAACTCGACACAAAACAAGGCTTGTGGCGAAAGGATTTCTATAAAAAGAAGGAATAGACTTCGATGAAGTTTTTGTACCTGTTGCTAGGATCGAAACAATCAGGTTGGTTGTTGGTCTAGTAGAAATAAATAGTTGGCACATATGTCAGATGGACGTGGAGTGTGCATTCCTAAATGGACCCTTAGATGAAGAAGTCTATGTTAAACAACCAGTTGGGTTTGTGAAACATGACGAAGAAATAAAGGTGTACAGGCTGCATAAAGCCCTGTATGGATTGAAACAAGCTCCAAGGGCTTGGAATAAGAAAATTGATAGTTTCCTAAGGGAGAAGGAATTTGTGAAGTGCACAACTAAACATGGAGTATATGTAAGAAGAAGAAAGAGTAAATTACTTATACTATGTCTCTATGTAGATGATTTATTGATAACGGGTAGCTGTGAAAGTGAGATCGAAGACTTCAAAGGTGATCTCAACAAGGAATTCAAAATGTCTGATTTGGGTGAGATTTCATATTTCCTTGGTATCGAATTCTACAAGATCAGTAGAGGTTTTATGATGCATCAAAGAAGATATGCAAGAGAAATTCTCAAGAGGTTTGAGATGGAAGAATGCAACTCAACTTCGACACCTGCATAACCAAGACTGCAACTGTCGAAAGATGCAGATGAAGATGATGTTGATCCAACCCAATACAGAAGACTTATTGGATCATTGAGATACCTTTGTCATACAAGGCCTGACTTAGCATATAGTGTAGGTATGGTAAATAGATTCATGCAGAAGCCAAAGGTATCACATCTAGTAGTGGTGAATATGATACTAAGGTATCTCAAAGGAACTTTCGATTATGGCATTTTGTTTCCTGTATCTGATAAAGGAAAAGAATGCAAATTAGTGGGATACACTGATTCGAGTTGGTGTAGTGATGCTAAAGATCGAAAGTCAACAGCGGGATATGTGTTTATGCTAGATGGTGCACCAATTACTTGGAATTCAAGAAAGGAACCAGTAGTGGCATTATCATCATGCGAAGCATAATACATAGTTGTTTCTCTTTGTGCATGTCAAGCAACTTGGATGGTGAACTTGGTCGAAGAGATAACAGGGAAAGATCATGGAGCAATTACCATGAAGATAGATAACATGTCAGTTATTAATCTGGCGAAGAACCCAATAGCACATGGTCGAAGCAAGCACATTGAAATGAGGTTCTATTATCTTCGAGAGCATGTAGCAGATGGGGAGATGAATTTGGAACACTGCAGAACTGAGAATCAGATTGCAGATATCATGACGAAGGGAGTGCAAGTCGAAGTATTCAGAAGACTAAGAGTCATGATGAACATAGATAGTTTAGACACAATGAATTAGGTGGTGTGTTAAATTGTAATTCAGTGTGTCGAAACTATGTGTCGAAACTACGTGTAGAAAAGATCTTATTTGTTTTAGATTTAAATAGATTTGATTTAAGTCTAGAATAGATTTGATTTGATTTAGTAACAAAATAGACATTTTAGGCTCTGGGCTTAGGGTGTAAGCTCAGTTATAAATAGAGGGAGTAACCCATATTTTTGTAAGCAAGTCAAGAAAGTCATTCACAGTATTTTACAATTGCAAAGTGAATAAGAAAGTTTTCACAGTTTGTGAGCAGGGAGAAACTCTGCAGAAATTATTTGTCTTGTTTCTTTCTTTGTTTGTCTCATAATTAAATTGTGGTAGAAATTCATCATACACTTTAATAGATTTCCAACACAAAATCTCCCACCAAAACTTGCAAATCATATTCTATCGAATTACATAAGTTCTCTAAGATGTTATGGACACCAACTTTTATTTTCTTCCAGCCTTTTTAACGTATCCAAATCATATCCTACAAAAAATCCAACAAAAATAAAGAAGATAGATATTACAAATATTAAAATAATGGCATCTGCAAGAATATATCTCCAAGAATATACTTTAATATATATATATATATATATATATATATATATATATATATATATATATATATATATATATATATATATATATATATATATATATATATATATATATATATAGACGAAGTAGCTAAGTGGTACACAATCTTGTACTGCAGTGAAGGTGGTTTGTGTTTGAATTTTTTTTTTTTTTATGAATTTGATGTGATCATATATCGCAACATTTGGCTTGTAACTGTTTGGAGTATTTGACTTTTGTGTAATAGAATCATGTTCAAAGGTGTTGCTTTTTCTTTTGAAGATTGCATGACTTCGATTATTTACCAGTCTTAGATTTGGATAGGATTGACCAATAAATTCTTTGATTTTTGTAACTTTTACATTTGGAACTTTTTTCCTCTTCTTTGTTTTAAGAGATAAGAATCATGTGTTTGTATTTCGGGCGAGTATCCCTTATATTTCTGTTAATGAAACTTTTGTCTATTAAAAAAATATATCACGTCAAATGGCACGCGTGCAAATATATATTACATCAAATGTCACAATGTCCATAACCATTGTTTATGAGAATAGACTGAAAGAATTTAAATGATAACTTTTGTAGATATATTTGATCTATTAAAAAATTAAGGGATCAAAATAAAAAATAAAAAAACTAGGTAAAAATAAGAGAATAAAAAAAAGTATTTAGCCTAATATAATTTTAAAAAGAAATTCTAGTTAATTTAATTAAAGTATTTAAGTTATCAAAACAAATTATTTAATGTAAAGCAAACCCAAGTTTGATAGCAGAAATTCTACAACAGCGGCGTCTGTCAAATCTTTTGTTACAGATCGAGAAACCGTTACCTGCAACTGATGAAAAGGTTAGACATTACATATATGATGATATTGTTTTCGGTATTTTGTCTAAACTTCATGTCAAATCTTTGAATCGGTTTTCTTGTGTACGCAAATCATGGTCTCTTTTATTTCAAAATCCTTATTTTATGAGTTTGTTTCAAAGAAATTTCTTATCTAAAGATCATCCTCATTACAACGATACGTCTATCCTCCTTAATCACATTACACCTTGGTATTACAACTACATATATGAACCTAAATTGTATTTTCTATCTGGTGAGAATTTTGAGAATATGATCAAATTAAATTGGCCGAATCTATATGAAGACCCTTTTGGAAAAGCTTGGTATTAAAGGTGGTTTTGGTTGCGAGATAGTGCTTTACAAGGAAAGCCTTCTACCATTTCCAAGAATCAATAATTAGTTATTTTCTTAGCCAATTGAGGTAATTAAGTGACTACGATTATTATGATTTTAAAAAAATGACTGGTTTTCAACTTTCTATCTCTTGTAATGTTACAAATGCTTTGTAAGATTTAAATGAAAAGTATGTGTAATAATGCTATTGATACAAATGATATATTTTACTTTGTTCGCATACTGGTATAGCAGCAATACGCCACTTGTTATTTTGCTTATATATACTCCTATGGCATTAACAGGGACAATAAGTCTTGTGAAATGAAAATGTAGTATAGTTTTACATGCAATATTATGAACAAAAATGTACTGTAGTTCCTTTCAAACTTCGTGCTCCATGTTAATGTTTTCCTTTTGATTTTGAATCATGTTAAACAAACTTCTGCTAAGTTACATCCCTCTTTCAAGTTCTGCCAAATTGAGAGTTTGATAAAAAGTTATCCAAACAAATGATACACATTCATAATAATGATTGGATTATTTAATACGAATATATAAACGTCGTGACGTGCTACTATTACCGCTCAAATGATCATTTTTTCAACAGTGATTAGATCATCTCTTGTACTGTGATTTTCACATAGAAGAGTAAAATGTGATTTCTCGTCACAAAAAAGAGCAAAAACATAACATGTTTAAATTCATGTTTGTTTGACAGCAATAAGGAGGAGGAGGATGTTACTCACATTTCCTTCGAATGTCTGGTAGTTTTGGCTTCATAGAGCGGGATTCTAAGATGGTTGAATTTTCCTCTGTTTTATATAATTATATTATGCCTAATTTTCATCACAATGGTGGTCTATGTAGAGGTGGCAGGGTCAATAAGAAGAGGTCCAATGTTGTTTGGTTTTGGTTTGCGTGCATTTAAGCCTTGTGGAGAAGGCGAAATGACTAAGCTTTTGGAAAAAATAAGGAGGAAAAGTATCTTTATCGAAGACATCCAACTAGCATCTTGGAAATGGATTAAGAGTAAAATTTACCAACTTATGTATTTTACTACGTATTTTGTAAATGTATCAATTTATGCATTAAATAAATTAGGAGGAAGTATATTTTACTACATATTAAATGTATTTTACTATATATTTAATGTGGAAGGCGATCTTGTGGATATCTTGTGGAGCTACACGAATTTGGTGAAATCCAGAAGTTAAATCCAACTTAGAGAATACATGGGCGCTACCTAACTCATCAAACAACTCATCTATGGTAGGAAAAGGGGACCTATCACGCACGGTGATATGAATATGACCCTAAGTCGTATTCTCTATTTGGTGACAAGTTTGAGAATACGATCAGATTATATTGGCCAAATCCATATGAAGATCCGCGTGATTTTATTATCTGCAGTTCTGTTAGTGTTAACGGCATTCTTTGTATTCAAAATCTCAGAAGTATTTGTTGTATTAAAGAATTGGGGAGATATGTATTGTGGAATCCCACTACTGGAGAATTCCAAATAACTCCCGCTAGTCCTTTTGCATTTGAATCTTGTTATTGGGATCTCGAGATTGATTTTCATGGATTTGGCTATGATCGGATTAGAGATGATTATAAGGTTATTCGACAGTTAGAATTTCATCCTAATGAGATTGCAGATGAAAATGAGAGATGGAAAGATGGATATTGGGAAATATATTGTTTAAAAAGCAATTCTTAGAAAAAAAAATTAATATCGATATGCCTAGTCAATATCGTAGTAATATCGATGTTCAAGTACATGGATGGAGTGTGTCATTGGTGGGATGAAAGTGAAACACGTGATAAAGCTTATTTGGTGTCATTCGACTTAAGCAATGAGGTATTTTTTAAAACATCCATACCCTCAAACATGGATGATGATACTGATATTGACATTGGTATTGATACTAGAATCGTGTTTAGATACTTATTAGTGTTAAATGGATCAATTGGTTGGATTACAAATTATCATGAGACCGCTACTTTTCACATATCAATTTTGGGTGAAGTTAGGGTGAAGGATTTATGGACAAAACTATTTGTTGTCGGTCTATTATCATGTGTTGACCATCTTATGGGAGTTGGCAAGAACAATGATATTTTTTTTCCAGAAAAAATGATGATGAATTAGATTGTGTGATACGGTGGCCAGAACCGGACTGTTTTGAAATGCTGGTTTGTGTTTTGCGTTTGTGTTTGCAAAATGTCGCGGTAAGCAAGAGTCGCCACCAACTTTTATTTTATCCAACAAGGAAAGGAAAAAAAGCACAGAAAAATTCTTTTTTCGAGATATTTCTGAGTACGGGGGGTAGATCATAGAAAGGGAAGGTATTAGCACCCTTTCTATCAGTAGTTATCTACGGGCTCTTAGGTACTCGCTCATCATTTTCAAAATTGCTTCTTTGCGTTCTTGTGTGTTTTGAAAAGTTTTTGTTTTGACTTCGATTTAACTCTTGTTTCTGTCTTCAAGAGTGTAATGAAGTGTTTTTGAAAACTTTGTTTGTAAAAGTGTAAGTGTGAAAAGTTTGTTTTGATTGAGCAAGTACTTAGGAACTAATCTACATACTCGGAAAAAAGAATCGTTCTATGTTCGTTTCCTTTAGACAGTGTTATCCCACTATTAGTGAATAGGTAGCACTGTCATTGGAGTTTGAGGGTCAACTCGAAAGGGACGTTCGGTCACTAAAGCAATGTTAGGACGTCTTAGTAATAGCCCTAAAGTCTTAGATCAATTATCCGAGGCAACAATATCTGAGGCGACCTTTCCGAGGCAACTTTGATCTTTGGACAAAAGGACAACCACTAAAGCATCCTATACTCAATGACCGTTTACCGAAGGCAACCAAGTGGGAGTGTACCCTAGGAGTGCGCATGTGCGAGTGATTCAATTTCAGTTTATTTATCTTTGCACATTAAGGGTGATCTAATTGTTTTAAAATTAACCATACATTCTTGTCATGCATCCTATTATCATACATCTAACAATTAGTAAGTTGCGGAATTTAAAGTGCGGAAATTAAACTACGCTATTACAAGGCTTCGGGTATTTACATAGGCAAAAACAAACCCTTTGAAAATAAAGCGATAAAAGTAAATGAACGTCCTAATTTAAGTTATTACAAACTGTGAGCAGATACAATAATTGGGATAAAAAATAAAATAAAGCGCGCGATGGCAAATTAGATCGAATGCGGACTAGGGTTTTGACCCTTCTATCCTAATTAAAGAGAAAATGTTTTTTGTTGTTTTTAATAAAAGAATTAAGTTTTTCTAAATTAAATACAAAAAATTAACTAGTTAATTAATTTAATTCATAAAAATAATTAAATGACCTATTTTTGGTTTTTTTTGGTTATTTTAGTAAAAAATAAAATATAATTTAGTAATAAAACCTATTTATTTTAATTATTTTTAATTATGTACAAAAGGAATTTAAAATTGTCTAAAATTAATAACCTAATTAAATAAATTAATTTTTTAATAAAAATAAAATCTAGACCTAATTTGTGAAAAATAATATTTTTGTGATTTTTTGGTAACATACGAGCGGAGGTGTAACTTTGGGCAGGAGACTCCGTCGTACTTAGCAAAGACAGGCGCTTTAAACTTGTGGGAAATCACCACCCCAGATGCCAGACCCAAATCTCTGAAGTCCAGCCCAGGTATCTTCTGAATCTTCATCACGTTTAACCGGTCTTCAAGTTGCTTATATCTATCCTCGGGCGGAGGATACTGGTCTTCATCAAAATCAGTGTCATTGTCAGAAACCACAGGGCTAGGAGCCCTCCTTTCTTCTTGATTCTCTCCCCCTCCAGATGAGTGAGATAAATCAACATCCTGTCTCAATCTGTTTCCAAATCTGTGACCCATATTCAGGAGGATCGTCTTCTTCTTCTTCTTCTTCTTGTCCTTCGAGATAAGAGTCTTCAGATCTTGTTGACTCTTGGCCAAGTTCATGAACATCTCCTGGAACTGAGCATTCTGAGCTTGAAGAGCCTTAATAGCTTGATCAGTAGGTGTTTCAGAAGACATGATTGCTGAAATAAACAGTGAAGAAGATGAGAAACCTGTAAGGGTACCTGTAATGAGGTGCATGGGAATGGAATGCGTATGAAATGATTTCTAAGACTTAGGGAGATTCAAATTTGTAAACCAAAATAAAACACACTTTATTAGATTAAAAACTTGAAACAATGTTTAACAAATGCCTTTAAGGCGTTACAAAAGAAATACTGAAAAGCGAATTTAAACTAGAAACAATAAAAGACATCAGCGTTCCCATGGTCGTTTTCCTTTTGTGCTGACATAGTCGTTGATTGTCCTCTCAGTCTCCAGCTGCCTTGTAAGCTTCAGGATCTTCCGTTCCTGCTCATGATACTTCTCTTTGTAAGTATCCCTTTCTTGCCTTAGCTGGATCCAAGACCTTTTCAATGCCCCCAGATCAGTAGGCATATGAGGATGGAGGATGGTATAAGGAACACCTTCTTCATCAGTATGCTCCACATTCACCGGTAAGACAGCTTCGTATGGCATTCCCAGCTTTTGAGCACGGGCTCAAACCCACTGGAGATATGGTTGCATCGGGAGATAAGTCTTCATTCCTAGCTCATGTGGATCAGACCTATTCACCCTATCCCAAGCTCGTATAAATCTGCGGCGATGTCCCTCAACATCCCCCATGAAGTCAAAGACAAAGTCTAGAAGCAGCAACTCATGAGGACCGTCCCTTCGAGCTCGTCCAAACTGTCGTAAGGCCAAATAAGGATTATAGGTGATCCCTCCTCTAATTCCAAGCAATGGAACATTGGGGTATTCCCCACACCGATCAATGACAGCTACCTTTTCCATATTTTTAGTACTCCAAAGGATGTCCGTGTGAGCAAGGGACATGATTCTGTAAGCCCAACCCATTCCTTCCTCATTTTTCAAAACAGATTTGGGGAGGTGAGAAATAAACAACCTCGTCAGCAGCGGTGTACAGCACATGAGGGTTCCCCGTTTCCGAACAGTGCGGGTATAAAGAGCATGCAGAATATCACCTAAGAGAGTAGGTACTGGGTTACGGGACATGAAGATCTGCACTGCGTTCACATCGACAAAGGAATCTGAATTTGGGAACAGAACCAAGCCATAGATGAGAAGATCCAGGATGTCTTCAAATGCTTGAAAGTTCAGACTATCCCAGAACTGATGAGCTTGATCAATCAAGAACTTAGCCAAGAAGCCTTTAATCCCACTCTGAATCTCTCAGTTAGATACCACATCAGCCTTTGTTAGATGTAGGGCTGAAGCAATATCCTCTGGCCCAGGAGCTATCTCCAAACCTGTAAATGGTGTCTTGTCTAGAATAGATATGCCGAGTAAATCAGAGAACTCCTCCAAAGTAGGGACCAACTGATAGTCCGGGAAGGTGAAACAGTGATGCAACGGGTCAAAGAACTGGAACAAGACGCTCATCATTTGTTCATCCAGCTTGGAAGTGACCAGGTTGAGGAGATGACCATGTCTTCTGACAAAGGAAGAAGTGTCAGGAACCTTTGAAACCAACTCTCTAAGCTAAGCAGGAATCTGCACGAAGTTGATCCGAATGGTGTTTCTGCGCATAGATGCCATGATCTGCAAAACAGAACAAAGATGAATCCCTTCGGTCTTTGAAATGGTTAGTCTAATGAAATATGTATGCAATGTCATGATGCATGATGTCATGATAAAAACACACCACAGGTATCACAGATAGCAAACATGGTAAGGGCAAACAAGTCACACAATAGCCCTTAAATTTCAGGCTGGCATGGAGTTTAGGTACTACCCTCTTTCAGTTTAGTTGGTTCAACCTGTCCTAGTAATAGTAACCGGGTTCTAGAGGTTCTCAATATCATTGACCATCCTCGATCGGTCATAATTCCAGTTTCTTGCAGCCGGAATCATCGCGAGAGTATGGTCTCAATGAGTGTAGCATACTGCTACTTTTCTATAGCCAAGTTGGTCAATTATAGGTTCTAAGGTCAGTTGATGCTTAATGACCCATTAGCAGCCTCATACTCTCCTTGTTCCTCCACAAGGGATATCGGTACCAACTAATGTGTCACACCAACGTAGCTACTGCTTCAACCGTATCGGTCTATGCTGTACAGTTCCCTCACAGTCTATTGCTACTTACCTAAAAGGGTATCCCCAGATCCGGGTTAGGATCTATAGTAACTCCGATACAAAGCCCACAAAGATAAAGCAAACAGATCAAACAATTGAAAACAATATGATGAACTATTCCTAAGGTACACCCCACTTATTATTCCCCAGTAGAGTCGCCAGTTCTGTGATACGGTGGCCAGAACCGGACTGTTTTGAAATGCTGGTTTGCATTTTGCGTTTGTGTTTGCAAAATGTCGCGGTAAGCAAGAGTCGCCACCGACTTTTATTTTATCCAACAAGGAAAGGAAAAAAGCACAGAAAAATTCCTTTTTCCAGATGTTTCTGAGTACGGGGAGTAGATTATAGAAAGGGAAGGTATTAGCACACTTTCTATCCGTAGTTATCTACGAGCTCTTAGGTACTCGCTCATCATTTTTAAAATTGCTTCTTTGCGTGCTTGTGTGTTTTGAAAAGTTTTTGTTTTGACTTCGATTTAACTCTTGCTTCTGTCTTCAAGAGTGTAATGAAGTGTTTTTGAAAACTTTGTTTGTAAAAGTGTAAGTGTGAAAAGTTTGTTTTGATTGAGCAAGTACTTAAGAACTAATCTACATACTCGAAAAAAATAATCGTTCTATGTTCGTTTCCTTTAGACAGTGTTATCCCACTATTAGTGAATAGGTAGCACTTTCATTGGAGTTTGAGGGTCAACTTGAAAGGGACGTACGGTCACTAAAGTAATGTTAGGACGTCTTAGTAATAGCCCTAAAGTCTTAGATCAATTATCCGAGGCAACAATATCTGAGGCGACCTTTCCGAGGCAACTTTGATCTTTGGACAAAAGGACAACCACTAAAGCATCCTATACTCAATGACCGTTTACCGAAGGCAACCAAGTGGGAGTGTACCCTAGGAATGCGCATGTGCGAGTGATTCAATTTCAGTTTATTTACCTTTGCACATTTAGGGTGATCTAATTGTTTTAAAATTAACCATACATTC